TAATCTATCAATTTAAATTATCTCACGGACTTTAAAAGGTTAATTGAGTTGTACTCTTGGTTTCAGTGAGAGTTATACTCTGTGTTACTTATTCTGCCCACCGCGAAAAGTAATTGTTGAGCATTTCAATCATGCTAAGAGCCACTCAACAATAACATACGGTAAATCTACATCTTTATTGTTTAAGTTACGTCACATTTTGACATTTGAACGATAGTGTGATTAATTCCTTACAATTTAGTGCAGAATATCCTGCTGGCGAAACCAAATTTGGAATCTACTTTATTGATGCCTGTTTTCCAGTCATTTCTAAAGTTAATGTTGAGCTTTGCCTGCGTGCGCAGCTTTTCAACCGGGAGACAGACGAACAGACACTAAAGTTCGCAATATATACAATATTCTTCAGTCTTAACTAATGAATAAATGTCTTTAAGAGTTCTTTCTGAATTCGGATTGTCTCTCTTCAAATGTCATTGATATTTTTCTACTGGTAACTTTGACTTTATCAGTTACTAGAGACAGCACGTGATAGAAGCAGATATTTCGTCCATAAAAAGAACCAGAATATTTAATTCTTACCTTTTTGTCTACAACACGATACTGCATTTTTTCCTCTCTCAAAGTATACCTATTTTATTTCCATAAATTGTAAACTAATTACTATGATTTGAGATTTAAATTAACAAAGCAAAAACATTTTGAGTTGAAAAAAACAACAACTTGCTTTTTAATATTATAATTCATGTTAAGTTCTTTATCACATACCCCATGCTTTGTTTTGCTTCAACTAATGTTGTTTGAGTTATCGTTCATTAGCGTTGATAGAGGAACGAATATAGTGATGAAAACAACGAGAAACATATCCTCAAGTCAAGTATACTAACTTCTAAGCTATTATTTATCAAATGAACAGACAGACGAACAAGTAACCGTAACCTGCTACCCGGCGATAGCATTACTAGTCGTGCACAGAAAGTAGTGGATTGTCATCAACCATAAGATTACTAGTCGTGCACAGAAAGTCTTATGGTTGATGACAATCCACTACTTTCTGTGCACGACTAGTAATCTTATGGTTGATGACAATCCACCACTTTCTGTGTGTTAACTACACGTTAACGGTTAAGATAATACGATTTTTCGAAGGGAAGTGAAGAAATCTGACACTTCGAAACTTTCAAACAACAAACCCAAATCTTTAGAATCCATCTTTCTCTGGTTATGATGATAGACTTCCATCTGTATTTGAAGAATAATTATAAAAGATGACTATAAGTCAGAAACGTGTGTTATTTTATAGTTTTTACACATTAAATGCTTCGTTATTACTTGTAAAACCACTGATAAAAGTGATTTTTTTCTATCTAAAGTCGTGTTGTTCCCATAAAAATGATATCTTGTAAACATTTATTGTATACTTCTTATTCGACTTGATAGATAGATAGTACGATTACGTCACTATTTCTGGAGTTAAATATATATATATATTATCAATAAAACACCAACTTGTATGTTTTGCGTTCTTTTGCCACATTTTTCTTCAAGAAGTTAGCTACATTAATGAGGATCCAGCCTCGCTCTAAAGTGTTCGATTATCGCCTCAACTGTAAGTTTAGTAGCGTGTGATCCATTCCCACCCTTGGGAGGAATATTTTCTTAAAACAATAGCAATTTAGGGTAGTTTTTAATTTCCTTCTTTTCATTCTACTTGATTTTTTACTGCATTCCTCATTTAACGAGGTGTAATTTGTTTGAGAGGTTCAATTTCTTCACAATGTATTTATCGTGTAATTCTAAAGCGATTACTTGTTATAGCGTTGGTTGAGAATAAGTTTAGTTAGATTTAAGTATTTCTTTTCGAAGAGACTCGACTAGTAGAAACATACTTACTCTACATATAAATATGTTATTTACCTAGCTTTACACATGAATACTGGTTCCCAAAAGTACATTTTGTAAGACAGAATCATTATTATTTGTTAGTTTAACACTTAAGAATTTTAATTTGAAACTAATTGGCAAAGGTTTTATAATTTCTATTATCGTTTGTAATTAGTCAGTTTTTGAAAATCGTAACGGTCAAGACTAATCATGATATAGTTTTTGATTAATACAAATGATAGTGTTATTAGGAATGACTTAAATACTCTTTAGAATAAACTAGTTATAATTATATTTAATTTCATCGTTTGAACTGATGTTTAACGATTAAAACAATGGAAACGAGTATTTGAACACACACCATAAAGTTTTCAGTATCTTTGTAATAATACTGACCATGAGTAAAATCTATGTGTTTTAGTTAAATCTGTGTGTTTGAGTTAAATCTATGAGTTTGAGTTAAATCTATGTGTTTTAGTTAAATCTATGTGTTTGAGTTAAATCTATATGTTTGAGTTAAATTTATGTGTTTGAGTTAAATCTATGTGTTTGAGTTAAATCTGTGTGTTTGAGTTAAATCTATGAGTTTGAGTTAAATCTATGTGTTTGAGTTAAATCTATGTGTTTGAGTTAAATCTATGTGTTTGAGTTAAATTTATGTGTTTGAGTTAAATCTATGTGTTTGAGTTAAATCTGTGTGTTTGAGTTAAATCTGTGTGTTTGAGTTAAATCTATGTGTTTGAGTTAAATCTATATGTTTGAGTTAAATCTATATGTTTGAGTTAAATCTATGTGTTTGAGTTAAATCTATATGTGTTTGAGTTAAATCTATGTGTTTGAGTTAAATCTATGTGTTTGAGTTAAATATGTGTGTTTTAGTTAAATCTATGTGTTTGAGTTAAATCTATGTGTTTGAGTTAAATCTATGTGTTTGAGTCAAATCTATGTGTTTGAGGTAAATCTATATGTTTGAGTTAAATCTATATGTTTGAGTTAAATCTATATGTTTGGGTTAAATCTATATGTTTGAGTTAAATCTGTGTGTTTGAGTTAAATCTATGTGTTTGAGTTAAATCTGTGTGTTTGAGTTAAATCTATGTGTTAAGTTAAATCTATGTGTTTGAGTTAAATCTATATGTTTGAGTTAAATCTGTGTGTTTGAGTTAAATCTATGTGTTTGAGTTAAATCTGTGTGTTTGAGTTAAATCTATGTGTTTGAGTTAAATCTATGTGTTTGAGGGAAATCTATGTGTTTGAGGGAAATCTATGTGTTTGAGGTAAATCTATGTGTTTGAGTTAAATCTATATGTTTGAGGTAAATCTATATGTTTGAGGTAAATCTGTGTGTTTGAGTTAAATCTATGTGTTTGAGTTAAATCTGTGTGTTTGAGTTAAATCTATGTGTTTGAGTTAAATCTGTGTGTTGGGTTAAATCTATATGTTTGAGTTAAATCTGTGTGTTTGAGTTAAATCTATGTGTTTGAGTTAAATCTGTGTGTTTGAGTTAAATCTATGTGTTTGAGGTAAATCTATGTGTTTGAGGTAAATCTATGTGTTTGAGGTAAATCTATGTGTTTGAGTGAAATCTATGTGTTTGAGGTAAATCTATGTGTTTGAGTTAAATCTGTGTGTTTGGGTTAAATCTATATGTTTGAGTTAAATCTATGTGTTTTAGTTAAATCTATGTGGTAAATCTATGTGTTTGAGGTAAATCTATGTGTTTGAGGTAAATCTATGTGTTTGAGGTAAATCTATATGTTTGAGTTAATTCTATGTGTTTGAGTTAAATCTATGTGTTTGAGTTAAATCTATATATTTGAGTTAAATCTATGTGTTTGAGTTAAATCTATATGTTTGAGTTAAATCTATATGTTTGAGTTAAATCTATATGTTTGAGTTAAATCTGTGTGTTTGAGTTAAATCTATATGTTTGAGTTAAATCTATGTGTTTGAGTTAAATCTATATGTTTGAGTTAAATCTATATGTTTGAGTTAAATCTATATGTTTGAGTTAAATCTGTGTGTTTGAGTTAAATCTATATGTTTGAGTTAAATCTATGTGTTTGAGTTAAATCTATATGTTTGAGTTAAATCTATGTGTTTGAGTTAAATCTATATGTTTGAGTTAAATCTATATGTTTGAGTTAAATCTGTGTGTTTGAGTTAAATCTATATGTTTGAGTTAAATCTGTGTGTTTGAGTTAAATCTATGTGTTTGAGTTAAATCTATGTGTTTGAGTTAAATCTATGTGTTTGAGTCAAATCTATGTGTTTGAGTTAAATCTATGTGTTTGAGTTAAATCTATATGTTTGAGTTAAATCTGTGTGTTTGAGTTAAATCTTTGTGTTTGAGTTAAATCTGTGTGTTTGAGTTAAATCTTTGTGTTTGAGTTAAATCTGTGTGTTTGAGTTAAATCTACATGTTCTTCACATCACTTGTTAAAACCAAACAATTCCAATCAGTTCAATGCACTTCCACGTGTTTCTCATTATTTAATATAAATAATGGAATGAATGATTACATAAATTATGCTTCAAGAACAAAATCAGATAGGTTTATCTATTACTGTTGCAAAATAAATACAAAAATCACAATCTTACATAATGGGTTTCAAGAGAGATTACATTACTGGACAGATTAAGTTTATATGACTTAACAGAAATTAGAGCTTCCAAACAATCTCTAAATGTCACCTCTAAAACCTGTATGTACACATTAATAATATTTCTTGTTAAGACGCAGGCACTTTACAATTAAAGCCACGAATATCACGACAACACTACAGATAGTTGAGGGGCACGATCTCAGAAGAAGAAAGACAGGTACTCCGCCAGTGCATACACAAGTGATTGACGAATTCTATCCGGACCTGTCACACGCATCGAGCTGGGAAAACAGGGCATTATAAAATGTCAGTCATATATATATATATATATATTTTACACGAACGTTTCGAAACGTAATGATCAGCTGAAAAACGACAATAACTATAAAATTACTGTGATATACATTTTAACTTCAAGAAATGTATGAAAAATGATTTTAACTTAAGACCGTTAAATATAATACAGCTGAGTACATTTTTATTGGGTAATATACAAGGTTAAAACTCACTGGATTAATTAATATTCATGCTTTCTTCTTCAATAGTAGGTTTACTACTGTGTGTTGGTGGAATTTCCATTTGACTTTCACTGTTATTCTGAACTTCTGGGCTTTCAGCTATGTTTCCATTCTCTTGATTGAAAGAATTTACATCATTACAGAGAATTAAGCTCAAAACAACTGCTTTACAAAACAACAGTATTGTTTCTATAATTGGCTAACTCATATAGCTTGTGGCATTTCATTAACACACCTTTTAAACCACAATAATTTATTATTACAAAATAAAGATATTTAGCTACACGTTTCGATACATTTGTTCGTGTCATTATCAAACTTCTGTTGAATAAATAATCATCTCCCTCTTTCAATCTGATCATAATATATTTTAAGTTCTTACTAAAAACAAATGTTCTGGTTACGTCGATATGTAGTGTTGTTTTTTGTTTCGAATTTTTTTAAAGTACGTTTTTTTACAGTATGAAAAATAAACGAACTGTTTATTGTTTTCAAATAAAGTATGTCACATTATTTTGCGTAATAAACGTTATGGTTGAATGTGAGGAGTTATAGAATTTACTAGAAGTATTTAGTATTATATATACTTTATGAAGTTTTATCCAGTGGTCAAACTTCATTATTGTTTCCCTTACCTACTGATAACTCATTTACAGAAGATAATGATTCCAGTTGGACTTTACTGATAAAGTTGGGATCGACTTCTTCTTCTGGAACTTCTTCACTTTTGATAAAACACCACATTGAATAAAAGAGTAAAACAGTGTTTATAATTATTGATCATAAAACATAGTTGTGTTATTTCTATAATTAGAACAATACTGAAGCATTACTTAGAAATATTGACCATTGTAAGTTACGAACCTAGTTTTAAGATTAAGTTAATCATAGCATTAAGATTATCGTTATTCTCCGTGGAAAAATAAGACATTACTTATTATGATGACGTACTTCATAAAACTGTTTCATAATTCATCGTTTAAGAAGTACGTACAGGGTGACCCAAAATTAATAAGACTCCAGAATATTCTGAGAGAAACTTATATGTATTTCGTGCCTACAGATTCTCCACCACATTCATAGTACATAGTACCATTGTGGTAACATAGTAGTACCACAATGGTACTATTATATGGCAGTACTGTGGTACTACTATTGTTATATGGTAGTACTGTGGTAATACTATTGTTATATGGTAGTACTGTGGTAATACTACGGTTATATGGTAGTACTGTGGTAATACTATTGTTATATGGTAGTATTGTGGTAGTACTATGGTTATATGGTAGTACCACAGTACTACCATATAACCATAGTACTACCACAATACTACCATATAACCATGGTAGTACCACAGTAGTACCATATAATCAAAATAATACTAATTCTTCATCTTTTTATGTCTGGTTTAAAATAACAAACACAAACTAAGTGTGTGAAACAGTAGCAACAGACAACAGATGAAGAACGTTTCACGATAACTGACGTTAAGTACCCCTTAAAAATATATGATAGGTAACTGACGTTTCTTACATTAAGGAAATACATAATTGATAACTCACGTTTCTTTCTGTACACTTTTTTTCTTCTGATCTAATGTAAAAAAAGTTGTACAATATAAATTATTATAATACGTTTCACAAAGCATTACGTAAGTCATTACATAAAAGGTCTTATAGTACGTTTCACAAAGCATTACATAAGTCATTACATAAAAGGTATTATAATACGTTTCACAAAGCATTACATAAGTCATTACACAAAAGGTATTATAATACGTTTCACAAAGCATTAGATAATACATTACATAAAAGGTTTTATGATACGTTTCACAAAGCATTACATATATAATATTTCTATTGTTTTTGGAATAATATTAAACTTTCTGTCGGTCTTTATAGTGTTCTGATTGATTGTGGAGGGCGTGTTATGATTGGTCTCTGCAACAGGCAGTTGTTCTGGAGGATTGTGGAGGGCGTGTTATTACTGGTTCAACAAAATTAACATGTAAATACTAAAGCGTGCTCCTACTGGTTCAACAAAATTAACATGTAAATACTAAAGCTATTTTTTCGAGAAAGTATATAAATTATGTTCCTTGTATGGTAAAATATATACACACAATATTTCCTATTAATGAGAATTTTAGCTAAGGTCATGATCTTAATTTCAAGATTTAATATGGTTTTATAAAAAGCATGTTTTTCGTGTACATACATATTATACCTGCAAGATTTTTCTGTCGTCGACATCTTGAGAAAATCAGCACAGAAACGGCTAAGACAACAAGAGTTCCAGCACTGCTAATTACAGTGGTTAGTGTTAGACCGATTGGTTTTGTTTTCGGTTTTCCTGAAAATAAAACAAATGACAAAAATACATTTAAATTTCACTAGAAATGCGAGAAGTAGATTTAAACTTTTACAAGTGGTCTTACCGTATATAAAAATACTAATATCCTCCTTCAAAGTAGGATATCAAACAATTAAGGAGCATTTGTGTGTATTACGTGTTTAAATCATGTTATAAAGCGGGAAAAATATATTACATTTTCCTTTAAGCCTAGCAGTGCTAAAGCATTCTATGAGTATAGCAACAGTAGTTCTAATGTATTTATTTGTATAACAACGATCGTATTTAAAAGTAACTCAAATGTTGTACATCAGAATTCACACAAAAGCATTGTTTGGACAGTTTGATCTATGTATGTTTTAAAATGGACTTTCGTGTAACTCAAAGAAAATTAAATTTTATTTTACTTATGTAGCCCGTACTTTATGATCTTGTTATCTCGGTGTTATATATTCTCTCTTCACGTGACAGAATAACCACGTAACGTATCTTGTGAAGCTCACAACCTACTGTTTTTAATTCAGGACAAACAATAAGCATTTCATGATAATATATAGATATAGATATAAGAGTCTCTTTGGAAAAATAACATCAAATAATAATCTTTACAAGTGATTAATTGTTACAAAGTAGAGTGTGTGTTTACAAGAAGATTAGTAGAGTGTAATGTTTACAAGAAGATTAGTAGA